AGTGCAATTAGAATATGGATATGTTTGGATGGTTTCGCCACTCACTTCACCACTCACTTCACCACCAACACCACCAACACCATGCAACCACACAGAATACCAGCAACAACTTGTGCAATGAAATTTTCCCCATGTTTGTTCTTGCATGGGTTCTGTTCTGGTTTACAACATGCTGAAAGAAACAGGTACAGTGGATTATGTTGGCCAAGTCTTTCCCGAGGTTGGTTGGTACGGTAAAACTTGTTTGAACTCTTTGTTAAATCTGTTGGTGGAAAGTGCAGTTAGAATATAAATATGTTTGGATGGTTTCTTCACTCACTTCACCACCAACACCAGCAGCATCACCAACACCACACAACCACACAGAATACCAACCAAACTTGTGCAATGAAATTTTCCCCATGTTTGTTCTTGCATGGGTTCTGTTCTGGTTTACAACATGCTGAAAGAAACAGGTGCAGTAGATTGTGTTGGCCAAGTCTTTCCCGAGGTTGGTTGGTACGGTAAAACTTGTTTGAACTCTTTGTTAAATCTGTCGGTGGAAAGTGCAGTTAGAATATAAATATGTTTGGATGGTTTCTTCACTCACTTCACCACCAACACCAGCAGCACCACGCAACGACACAGAATACCAGCAAGCAACTTGCACAATGCAATTTTCCCCATGTTTGTTCTTGCATGGGTTCTGTTCTGGTTTACAACATGCTGAAAGAAACAGGTACAGTAGATTATGTTGGCCAAGTCTTTCCCGAGGTTGGTTGGTACGGTAAAACTTGTTTGAACTCTTTGTTAAATCTGGTGGTGGAAAGCGCAGTTAGAATATAAATATATTTGGATGGTTTCTTCACTCACTTCACCACCACCACCAGCAGCACCACTTAACCACACAGAATACCAGCAAACAACTTGCACAATGCAATTTTCACCATGTTTGTTCTTGCATGGATCCTGTCCTGTTTTCTAACATGCTGAAAGAAACACGTACAGTGTGTTATGTTGGCGAAGGCTTTCCCGAGGTTGGTTGGTAGGGTGAAGCTTGTTTGAACTCTTTGTGAATTCTGGTGATGAAAAGTGCAATGAGAATATGGATATGTTTGGATGGTTTCACCACTCACTTCACCACCAACACCACCAACACCACCAGCAGCACCACGCAACCACACAGAATACCAACAACAACTTGTGCAATGAAATTTTCCCCATGTTTGTTCTTGCATGGGTTCTGTTCTGGTTTGCAACATGCTGAAAGAAACAGGTGCAGTGGATTATGTTGGCCAAGGCTTTTTCCCGAGGTTGGTTGGTACGGTAAAACTTGTTTGAACTCTTTGTTAAATGTGGTGGTGGAAAGCGCAGTTAGATATGTCTGGATGGTTTCTTCACTCACTTCACCACCAACACCACCAACACCACACAACACCACACAACCACACAGAATACCAACTTGTGCAAAGAAATTTTCCCCATGTTTGTTCTTGCATGGGTTCTGTTCTGGTTTACAACATGCTGAAAGAAACAGGTACAGTAGATTATTTTGGCCAAGTCTTTCCCGAGGTTGGTTGGTACGGTAAAACTTGTTTGAACTCTTTGTTAAATCTTGTGGTGGAAAGCGCAGTTAGAATATAAATATATTTGGATGGTTTCTTCACTCACTTCACCACCAACACCACCAACACCACCAGCAGCACCACGCAACCACACAGAATACCAACAACAACTTGTGCAATGAAATTTTCCCCATGTTTGTTCTTGCATGGGTTCTGTTCTGGTTTGCAACATGCTGAAAGAAACAGGTGCAGTGGATTATGTTGGCCAAGGCTTTTTCCCGAGGTTGGTTGGTACGGTAAAACTTGTTTGAACTCTTTGTTAAATGTGGTGGTGGAAAGCGCAGTTAGATATGTCTGGATGGTTTCTTCACTCACTTCACCACCAACACCACCAACACCACACAACACCACACAACCACACAGAATACCAACTTGTGCAAAGAAATTTTTCCCATGTTTGTTCTTGCATGGGTTCTGTTCTGGTTTACAACATGCTGAAAGAAACAGGTACAGTAGATTATTTTGGCCAAGTCTTTCCCGAGGTTGGTTGGTACGGTAAAACTTGTTTGAACTCTTTGTTAAATCTGGTGGTTGAAAGCGCAGTTAGAATATAAATATGTTTGGATGGTTTCTTCACTCACTTCACCACCAACACCAGCAGCACCACGTAACCACACAGAATACCAGCAAACAACTTGCACAATGCAATTTTCACCATGTTTGTTCTTGCATGTATCCTGTCCTGTTTTCTAACATGCTGAAAGAAACACGTACAGTGGGTTATGTTGGCCAAGGCTTTCCCGAGGTTGGTTGGTAGGGTGAAGCTTGTTTGAACTCTTTGTGAATTCTGGTGATGAAAAGTGCAATTAGAATTTGGATATGTTTGGATGGTTTCACCACTCACTTCACCACCAACACCACCAACACCACCAGCAGCACCACGCAACGACACAGAATACCAACAACAACTTGTGCAATGAAATTTTCCCCATGTTTTGTCTTGCAAGGGTTCTGTTCTGGTTTACAACATGCTGAAAGAAACAGGTACAGTAGATTATGTTGGCCAAGGCTTTTTCCCGAGGTTGGTTGGTACGGTAAAACTTGTTTGAACTCTTTGTTAAATCTTGTGGTGGAAAGCGCAGTTAGAATATAAATATATTTGGATGGTTTCTTCACTCACTTCACCACCAACACCACCAACACCACCAACACCACGCAACCACACAGAATACCAGCAAACAACTTGTGCAATGAATTTTTCCCCATGTTTGTTCTTGCATGGGTTCTGTTCTGGTTTACAACATGCTGAAAGAAACAGGTACAGTGGATTATGTTGGCCAAGGCTTTCGAGAGGTTGGTTGCCATTAGAAGTGCTCTGGAACTACAAGAGCAAGAGAGCAGCTGAAAGGGCTGAACTGGGTAAGAACAAGAAGAGAGGAGGAAAACAAAAGGTTTGTTGATGTTTGCTTCATGCGGCTCCTTGGGCCGCTGAAAAACACCATGCTGCTTGTGACAGACCCTGTTGGTGTGTGTGTGTGTGTGGGTGGGTGGGCGTAGTTGTGCAACAAGGTTTGATTTCCCTTGTGATGGATAGCCCCACTGCGCAGTGATTAGCATGTATCTTTATCTTCAAACACATGCAGTAAGGGACCAGCAGTAAGGGACGGCAGTACTGCAAACAACATATCATTGTTGACATATTCTAACTGCAAGTGCAGTTAGAATACGCCGCGGCGTACAAAATTCGCATATTCTAACTGCGTTCACTTATTTTTTCATATTCTAACTGCCGGTCCCTTACTGTAAACCAACCCTAAACAAACCCTAAACCAACCCTAAATAATCCCTAATCCAACCCTAAATAGATTGTAAACCGACCCTAAATAGACCCTAAAACCAAGCCTAAATAAACATAAATAAACACTACATCAACCCTAAATAGATCTTAAACCAAGCCTAAATAAACATAAATAAACCCTAAATAGATCTTAAACCCAGCCTAAATGAATCCTAAAACCAGCCCAGGATTTTTTTGGGCCTGGGTCCATGCATGGCTTTTGTTTTGCACATTGGCCAGGTTTTTTCCCACTTCAAGGGTGGTTTTTTCCTGGCCGCGTCAGCCTTCGGTTGTCGCCTGTCCCTCCGTCCTCCTGCCAAGCAGCATCCATGTTAGGGGCTAGGGGTGTCAGGCGGAGCAGACATTTGATTGGGCTGTCGTGCCCTCAATATCTTCGTGCGTCCTTCAGCTTTGTGAGATACGGTCTTCCCTCATCGCAACGGACGTTGTATCCGTCTGGATCAGCTCAATGTTTTCTTAAAACCAGCCCTAATCCTAAACCAACCCTTCATAAATAGATCTTAAACCAAACCTAAATAAACCCGAAACCCTAAATAGATCCTAAACCAACCCTAAGTATATTTTTAAACAAAGTTTCAATAAACCATGAAACACACCCTAAATGAACCCTAAACCAACCCCAAGTAGATCTTAAACCAACTCTCAATAAGCCCCAAACCAACCCTAAACCAACACATAAAAACCCTACTACTGTACATAAACCCTAAGTCTAAAACTCGAAGACAAACCCTTAAAACCTCTTAAAACCAACCACCCAAAAACCTAAACCAACCCTAAAACCGAAGATGAACCCCAGTTGCTAACTACCATGTTACATGAACAGTTTGAGCACCAAAAGGTTGCAAATACCATGGAAAATGAGAGGTTCAAACTCAAAAATGTTGCAAATACGGTTGAAATGGCAGCTTTCAGCTCCAAATTGCTGCAAATAGCATGGAAAATGTACGGACATGCAAATAATACTAAACGGAAACAAGTAATTCCCAAAACAATTCCGTACCCTTTTTAGTGGTGGCTCGAACGCTGATGTCATGGGGTTTGATTTTTAGTGGATGTTTTTTGTTGGTATTGTGGAAACGTCCGTCCTGCTGTCTTCTTCTATGAAAAGCACAGGTTTTGATTTTCAAGCGGTGCATTCATGGTGACAGCACGTTTGATATACTAGCCAGATCCAACCAGATCCAGAAACGTCAGAGATTGGGAGGATTCGGTGAGAAACGTGTGTTTATGATATTAGCAATGTATAGAGTACTGGGCTGCCAAAAAACAATCGTATTGCCTTGTTTAATTCTCTCAACCAAAGACATATCCAGTGTGTGGGCATGCGTGCTTGAAATTAGTTTTGGGTAGAGCAACCATGAGCAACCCTGTCACGCGATATTATCCTGGAAATTAAACCAGCTCTGCAACCCAACAGCAGGTTCCAGGGTTCCAGGGTTCTGTTTTGGTTTTCAGGGCCAACAAAAATCGGCGCACAACTCCCAGACCCAGAGATTGAAATCCGACAGTCCGTTGGGAACAAGGGCATGCAGTTCACAAGAAACTGGCTTCAAAGCCGGCAGATGTAGGGGGTGAGTCATTGTGCGGCGTTTGCCCAGGTTCGATTACTTTGTGAATGCGTTCGAATCCGTTCACAAGGCGCTACTCGAAGGCGGTCCTGACCAGAATGTGATGATGCAATAACTTGCGGGTGCGGCAAAGACTAAGTAACTAGTTGCTGAGCTGATGCTGTTTGAGAATCGAGACCTTTTGTGCTCTGGATAGATCCTGTCTGCGGTTTCTCCCTCTTTCCCGTTATGAAAAACCAAGAGTCAAGGCGCATGAAGCGAGTAGCCAGGGTGAAGTCATGCGCTGGTTGCCCCCAGTTGAAGCGCTGGCTTGGCAGCAAACAACCACCTGCCCCCTAGAGTCAGCCATCGAAAAAGCGGGCGAATCCGGCGAATCCTCTATAATTGTTTGTTCCCTAGTGAAATGATATGAATTATGTTTTTTTGTTTTTTTTTGGTACTTACATCAGCAAGCCGATATTTCCGCGGTGACATCCCCCTTGTTGGCCTGTTTCACTGGGTCCTGGGGAGGACGGATCAGAAAGTGTGGCTGTTTCAGGTGGCAAGGAAAAGTATTCCGGCATTATTCTGCCGCACAGCACGGCCACGTGGCAGCCTGGGATCCACTCAAATAGGGTAGTGTGGGATCCACACTAAACCATTCCCTGTTTGCTATATTATGTGAATTTAATGTTGGACATGGCTTAGTGCAGCCCCCCCTCCCAGACAAATGATGGAGAGTCATCGAAGTGGATCTGCTGAAAGGTCTTGCCAGGAAAAAATGGATAATTCGACAGTGGAAGATTACTCTTCTTCTTGATTGAAACAACCTGAGGAATGTAAGAAAAGCTAAGAATCTAAGTATGTAAAGGTTGTAAATCATTTGAACCTAATTACCATAAATTCATTTTCTTTTGGCTAAGTAATGCGAGATCTTCAAGGAGTAGATTTTGTTGGATGATGATTGTCCTTCTTTTGTTCTCTCCTTCGTTCTTCCGTCCTTTGTTTCCTTTGTTTCCTTTGCCCTTCGTGCTTCCTTTCCCTTCTTTTTTCCTTCATTTCTTTCTTCTTTTCTTTTGTTCCTTTATTGTTCTGTTTTTGTGTTTGTTTGCCCAGGCCCATTTGTTTTTTTATGTTCTTTTCCTTCTCTTTTCCGTTTACAGTATTCCTTTCTTTCTTGTCTCTTTTCCGTTTTCATTGATTTCGTTCTTCTTCATTGGAATCAGTGGCATTCTTTGGAAGTGGTGCCATGTGGTGCTAAATAAGGTGCAAAAAAGGAGTAGGACAGGCGTGGTGCCTTTTGGAATAACCAAAAACAGAAATAAGTTTGCGATTATTCAGTATGTCAGTATTTTCCAAACATATGGGGTGCCCCTTTGATAAACTGTTTGAGTGTCATTTTTTGTTTAGGCCCTCAGCATGATTCAAGACTTCAGGGGCATGCCAACACTTGCACATACTTGCACTATTCCGTGTTTGGGTGGTTGATGGGGTACCCCCTAGATGATGTTTGTGTGTGTCAGTCAGTTTTGTCTCAAGTGTAGTAAAGGGATTGATCCTCTTGGAAACCTTGAATTCATTGGCAGTGGTGCCAAGTAAGATGCGACAAAAAGTAGTAGAGTAGAGGAGTGCTTCCCTTTGGGATTAAACATATCAGGAAGATGCTGATTTTGTTCTATTGTTCATTTCCAACCTTTCGAAATAAGATACTGCGCATGGAATGAAATTGGCGAAAACTGTTGTCCACTAGACCCCTACCTGGGGTGATTTATGATAGCCCCCAATGGTTGATAATTGTGAATAAATATGGGAGAAAACATTTTACATTATGGGTCCAAGATAGGGATCAATTGTTGATATCATTTGGGTATGGGTCAGAATGAGGGCCTGTGGGGGCCGCAGAGTTCTGCAATATATATATATATATATATGATGTATATATATATATATGATGTATATATATATACATATGTATATATAATTCTTATACACTATGTATTATATTTGAGAACCCTTCAGATTGTAAAAAAATGCTGGGTCCGCTTTTTTTCTGCACTTTCACGTGTTTCATGTTGGGCAAAAAGAATGGAGTCCCAGCTGTTTTGATTTGGCAACCATGTGTAACCAATACAATTTCTTTCTGGGGAGACCTCTATATCAATTGTTTATGCAATGGTTGGCTGATACTCTGGGCCGGTTTGGAATCCCAGCGGCCCTTTTTCCTTCTTGTGTGCTGGGAATGCTCACTGCGGAGCGCACCCAGGAGTCCAAAGCAACCTAAACCACGAGTTTATCATTTGCGGAAGGTATTTTATCATGTACATAATCGATATATATATATATATATACATACATTTACAGTAAATTTAAACTAATGATGATCACAAATAACATGGCCCTCTATGGGCCAAACATGGGCGAGCATGGGGCACTAATGGGCCTCAACAGTTTGTCATTGTGCTTGGGGGTAGATGGTAATTACCGCTTACACAAATGCGTTTACATAATACGAGTCGCCAACACATGTTAAACATGACGGGCAGACACGGCTGCTCGGCTGCAAACTTCCTCTCAAGCCTAGATGTTCACCTGTCCCAGAAAATCGGGTATCCGCAATTCCAAACAGTTACCGTCATTTCTCCTATTGAATTTGATTCACGTTGCAAAACTTAGGGCTATCACGGATTTTGCTTGACAATTCAGATTGTTGGTCATGTTCTTTGGTGGACAGGCATCGTCTTTCCCCTTGGCTGGTTCCGTGCTCCTCAGGATCATTGCGTCCTGACTCAGATGGCATATGTCAAGCAGGATTTCGGCGGCTTGACATATGGAACGACCACGGCCTCCTGTGATGGGATGCACATCCCTCGGCATATTGGAAATTCTTTTCATGTATTGTCAATGGATTGGTTTAATGGACAATTTACAGGAAACCATGGTTTTTACCATTAAATACAGGGTTTTCCTGTAAATGTTCCCCTAAACCAATCCATTGGTGTTGGCGTATAAGTTGAACAAGTTGGATAGCTTCAACCCCATAGCTCCCTCTTCCATGGGGACATTGGATCACTGTGGATCACACGGGCCAGCCACTACGGCTGGCTGAGCGTCAACCACTCTGCCGTTGGTTTTTGAAAGTCTGGGGACGCATAAACCACACGTGGTTTCAGTCATTTCTTGCTTTCCATCGGTCCTATCTAGGATATTGAAAACACGTGGCCAATAATTCAATATCAATTGGATGAGCTGCCAGAACCAACGAGAAATCAGTCTGGCCTCTTTAGATATATGACATAGCCAGACATATTCATCCACATTCTTTCCTTCACGACCAATTCCATCCCCCTAACGACAGGCATCTCTATGTGGCAGGATAGCAACTGGTTCTGGTCACCGGCCCTTGTTATGCCCTTGTCAATTAGTCAATTCACTACAATCGGTTTATCCAAGTTCAAAGTGGGTTCTTATAAACTCGCGACTTCATCGCAACCTCCTATTGACCTTTAATATCCTTTAATGCTATGGGCCCTAAAACGAGAAAAACAATACTAAAGCAAGGCGCGTAAGCTATTAAATATCAGTGGGGAATTGGTAATTACCAATCATGGATCTTCCAATGCAACTTCTCAGAAGGTAAACTGGTTTGCTAGTGCTTACTACTGGATCTGTTCATTTTGGGCAACTCCGCTTCTGGGCGTGGGTTCGCTTGTGCCCTGAGTTTTGGCTCGCTTGTACCCTTCGTTATTTATTGTGGATGTTCCATGATGTTCCTGTCGTCGCCGTCGTCGCCATCGTCATCACCATCATCATCATCATGCGTGGGAAAACATATGAATCTGTCATGTGTCTGGGGTGGTGGGCGTGTGATCCAAAAACCAGCCCCCTCCCCACATGACACCTCAGCTTCGCGCCAAGGAGACCTTCGTAACACGATGGTGCAGCTCTTTTCCTACGAGGCCTGAACAATTAAAGCCTGCAGTATCAATCGAAAATTACAACCACGTCATTGCGACCTCACTAGAACCATGGTTAGGAAGGGGAATTATCCCAATATAGTCTTATTTCAGGTTATAAATACTGTATATGGTGAATTATTTTTTGCCCATGGCCCATAGCCCAAAATCCATGTAAAACCACATTAGTTTCTGAAACGACTGGCCAAACCACCCAAAAATCAAGTTTATTCCTTTCTTGTTCCCCCTGAAAAGTACTAGTACCACGTCACCCTTCGTAATTAATGGAAACGCCCATTTATAGATTATTTACCTGTTGGACATGTTTTCTTTCCATAACCATGTTTAACTAGCAGAGGATAAGTATCCCTAAGCGGTGTTCAAAAATAAATTCAAGGGGCTTGAGCCCGAAATATTTTTAAATTTATTTTTCAAAAGGTGCTTATCATAAGTTTTGAGTAAGTCAGACCCCTATGATTTTATTTTTGAGACATGGGCCAAGACCAAGAACTAACCCCAATGCAGCTGGTGGAGTAGCTTTAGGTTGGGTCCCTTTGGTTTTATTTTTGCGTTTTGCTTACCTTTTTGTTTTGTTGGAACATGTTGGAACACACCTCTTGTGTTGGAATTGGTGGACAAGACATGATGAAAACAATGGCTATCACGCCACAAAAAAGAAAAAACTATGGATTGTGATTACCTGATTACACCATTCTGCTTCTACAAAGCTTGAAATACATATTTAAAAGCTGGGTTTGGATATGTTTGGATTCAATATTTGATAGATTTTGGGGAAAATAAAGTCCAAGGTTCCCAAGCTTGTAGAATTTTGTTGGGTAGTATGGTTGGAATATATTGAATCTATGCTTTGTTTGGTGGTCACTATTGTTTGGGCAGAAAAGGATGCAGCCAGAACACGCCACAAAAAAGAAAAAAAACTATGGATTGTGATTACCTGATTGCACCATTCTGCTTCTACAAAGCTTGAAATACATATTTAAAAACTGGGTTTGGATATGTTTGGATTCAATATTTGATAGATTTTATTGAGATTTCAGATGATTTCACAAACACAGATGCTGACCTTGAACCCTTCAGTTTTATTTCTGGAACATTTTGGATGCTGGCTTGGAACCTTCTTGATTTTATTTCTGGAACCTCTTGATTTTATTTTTGCAAACCCCTCAGTTGGATGACTGATGATACTGATGATTTTCTCTTTGCGCAACATGTGGGGTTGAACTCCCCTGATTTCATTTTTGCATTTTGGGGGTCAGTAGCCTGGGTGCCCTTGATTTCATTTTATTTTTCAGGGGTTCAACCCCATCTGGGTGCACCACAAGGGGATGATAAGTCCATCCCATTATATCCTATTTATATTGCCATTATACCCTTATAGGATATTATAATATATTAATTATAATCATATGCCTATTGCTATTATCTTGCCATTATGCCCATTATTTCCCATATATGCCCTTATAATTATACATCCCCGTGTGGCGAGGACTTTCAAATACTGCAGAAGGGCTACGTGAGAGCTGAAGCGTCTACTGCCTTCTTGGTCCAGGCTGGAGTTCGCATGTTTTGATATGTTTTTGAATGTGTTTTGATACTTGTAGGATGCTGGTTGGTGGTTTGGAACATGTTTTATTGTTCCATATATTGGGAATAATAGCCCCGACTGATTTCAGAGGGGGTGGAAACCACCAACCAGATGTTTTTTGGATACTCGTATGATGTGTTTGATATGTGTTTGATATGTGTTTGATATGTGTTTGATATGTGTTGATATGCGTGAACCCCCATGGTGCACATATATAACTGGAACCGGAGTTATTTGGCTACATTTGGGCACCGATTTGGGATCAACGGATGTCAAAGTATACCTTTTGCCGCCTGTGGATCCAGAGATCTCTTGGCTCATTTCTGAGTTTTTGAGTCTGAAAACATGATTTAAATAGGATTCCCCTGACATTTCACGGTTCACAAGTGAATGTTCATCATATTCCTTATTAAAACGCCATGTGTATTTTGATGATAGTAGAGACTCGCCATCTTCAGATCCCGCTTGGGCCGCTTGGGTTCCAGGCTATGAAGGACTTCAAAGCGGCTTGGGTGTCCTTTCGCTCAACGGTGCCCTGGATGGAGCTGAAGCCTGATGAAGGGTGACAGGCTGAGGCCTATGACTTGGTAACTGGGGGGCCTCATGTGCAATGAGGGATGAGATCTATTATGACAACATTTAATCATTGAACATCACATCCCGGAAAAGAACAACAAATAGCCGTTCTGGTGGTACACTATTCAAGGTTGGTAAGAGGTAACAAAAAACGTTGCGAGATGATGATGCAAAACGGTGTCTCAAGTTGACAAAATGACTTTCCAACAGAATTGTAGGCCAGGACCCCGGAGCTCACCAGAAAGCACAGTTGATGTTGATGTTGATGTTGATTGTTATCAGAGAAACCGCTTGAAACCTATGGGCAACTATCATCCACTGGGTTTATATATATATGTGTGTGTGTATGTGTGTGTGCTTATACATATATATATATACAATATATAAACATAACTTATACATATATATATATATATAAATAAACATAATATATATATATACATATGGCTATAGATAATTAAAGTTTGATCCATTAAGATGACATGTCCAGAAGAAACCGAACTCGTGGTTGTTGGAGGTGAGAAACGACATTCCCTGATGGGGATCATATGGGATCATGGGGAGCCAGTTGGAGCCTCGATTTTTTGAGTTTCCCAACACGAGATGAAAAAAAGCGTTTGTAAAATCGGGGTGTTTCATTTTTTTCACTCAAAAAACGCACGTTTAAACATGCATTTGATGATTGCTATTTGAGCACATATCCACGGTTGATTCTTTGGACGACTCTCAGGACACTATGCGGTCCCGAGATCTGCTGGTTGCCAGTGCGTAGTGCTCGGTTGGGAAAGGATCCATGAATGAAAATCGTTAGGATTCGTTAGGATACAACGGGGATGTCAACAGCAATATTTGCTTCTCGGATACAGTTGGGTGACATATGTGGATATAACAAATTATAATGCAGTTCATGTATGTAAATAATTGTATACATAATGTATAATTAACTATAATTAACAATATATAAATTATACAGTATATATATATGGGTGTAGTTATATATGCATCTAGAATCTAGAAAACCGCAATCACATTTTTGCTTGAATTTACAGCATGGGTTTATCCCGCCGTAATTCTTCTTTTGGGAAAATCGTGTGTTCTGGCCAAATCCGTATTCAAGTCGGCCGAGCAGACAGGGTCATGTAGACCTTGGGAATAGCAACGGGCAAGTCTGTCGCGTCGCGCGAAAGGCTTCCCAAACGTCGGCGAATGAAGACTCAATGATGAAAAGCCATATTATGTACATTCTTTATAGGTATGTGACAACAGTAGCTTCAGACCTTTGCACAGAATCTCACTGTCCCATCTCCAAAAATGAAAACAATGGTGACTTTAAATTAAAGTGACTTTTTTTTTGTCGCCAGGAGTGGGATCACAGGACACCCTTTTTTTATAAACGGGGATGGGCTGCCAAAAGTGGCGCCATGTCTTGGAACATTTTGGATCCTGATCCGGATGGATCCTTGGGATCATCAAATAGTTTTCGTTTGCCCATGAAGATCTAGACACCAGAAGACTATGAAAACCGTTTGTGCATAGGGAATGACAGCCTGTTTTTCATATGTTTTTTTTTTCTGTGCACTGCTCAGGTTGCATATCACTTTTCAAATCCCAATGCAGCTGGCTCCAAAGACAAGTTGAACTCCGCAAGTGGACCTGAAGCCTATCATTCAGTTCACAGGACTGTCAGGGCACTGATTCAGGTGCACTTGCCGATTTGCAGGCTTCAGACCTGAGAAATGGCACCACACTATTTGACACTGACCTTGGAAATCACATGGCATGTTCCGGGTTCCGGGTTTGAGCCCGTAGTCTAGACATTGGTAACATAGGGTCATTCGTGCCCTTCAAGATCCTTCAAGCCTACGCCTACGCTTCAGGAAATATCATCCGGAGTACCGAGCAATCTTGTACTCGAGGACTCACGCCGCAGAGTGTGGTGTGTTTGAGCTGGGTCTCTCCCCCAGATGCGAGTTCCCACGGTTGTGGGGGAGTCTAACGTTACAATACATTACAAACAAAAACCTAGGCGCTAACCATTGAGGAGTTGTTGACATAATTTCAACATATTTCAACACAGAACTGCTCTGCCTGCGAAGGTTATGGTTAGGCAGGAATAACTGCACAGAATATTTAGTTTGATGTATAGTGATGAATTAACGTGTACATACATATAAATGAATGCATATGGTGAGTCTGAAAAAGGATATCCCTAACCACTGCTTAAACATTGTGTTCATTTTTTCCCCCTACTCAAACTGCAATTCTGTGGCCATACCCATCTTTGACACACATGCGTCCTGGCCGTTTGAACGGTCGTGTCGCGTCCTCGTGTCAATGTCCAAAGGTCAACATCCAGTCTTGCAGCGCAGAGTCACTTTTTTTTGGTCAATAATGTCACACATATGTAAAATATATAGACAGTCAGTTTGAAGGCGATAGGGAGATAATGCCATTTATCTATCTATCTATTTGTCTATCTATCTATCTATCTATCTATTTATCTATCTATCTATCTATCCATCCATCCATCCATCCATCCATCCATGTATCTATCTATCTATCGTTTTTTTTTAAATGTTTTTTTCAAACCCGAAGGACATAAATAACTGGGTTCAATGTCTGAAACCACATGCTTCGTCGTTTTCTTACTAGCTCAAAACAATTTACCGGCTCAGGGTTTTAAGACACCTAGAACATTTGAATGACATAAAGGATTTAATGAAGTTCCATGGATTCAAGGAGTCATAAAATGGTATATGATTTCTGCCGGCTCAGGGATTCATGAAATGGTAATTCCAATGAAGAACCGTTGAATTCTGAAAGGCTACCTGGCTATTCTATTCCAGAGTGCTCCCATGGATTGCTCGAGCTATTGTCCATGTGAATTGCTTGGTAGATTCCATTTGCATTTTTCAAAAGAATTGATGAAGGGGAAGGATGGTCTAGTCAGGATATATTATCACGACTATCATCAAACTTTAGATATGTGTAGCACTGTGCCCCAACCAATCCATATATGCAAAGAACCTGAACAAGCCTGAGTCATGTTTTGAAATCTTTTTCTTTATCGAGGTCTTCCTGCCGCAAACAGGGCGACAATCAGGACATTAATCTTATAGATATTTTGGGTTTGCGCCACAGCAGCCATGAACATCCTGAATATGGCTATTCGGGGCAGCACTAAAGTGTTCGGAGGTCAGTAGCAAAATCTGGTACCTTGTACCCGAATACTAAAGTAATGGCAATGGTGAGAAGACGACCCGTTATAAGCTTTGACACATTGGGGGAAATTTGCAATTTACGCGACGTACTCGCTCAGACCCATCGTGCTCGCTCAGACCCCATCGTGCTTGCTCAGACCCATCCTTTTGGAGAAAATGAGAAAAACAGACGTAAATGAACTGCATTGCCGCTTCGCCTTCTTTTTGGCCACGTAGTTCTGGCGCTAGATCCGCGCTAGATAAATCCCCCAAGAACACGCAGTTGCCCATTGGTCAGCTCACAGTACTTGAAAATCCAAGCGCGCTGTTTGCTTCAAACATATATATCGTAACATGACAGACAGCCGGAAGCAGCAGCTGAGATATGGGCTATGGAGTCTGCAGTGTTAGACCAGACAAAAGAACCATGCATGGTATATCAGGGTATGATAGCGACTCCAGTAGTTCCAGCAACTCCACCAAAAAGAGCCGCACACTGGCTACGTTTGCAAGATTTTAATCCAAATTGAGCAAGATTTTAATCCAAATTGAACATGTCCAACTTCCTTCACTCATACTTGATGTTTGTTGGAACAATTGAACTTGCAAGGCGGAGCCCTGTAAATAAGCAATGAAGGTGATATTTGTTCGAATCCTCATATCCCAAATCATATTGAATATAATTTGATTTGATGGAATATAGCAAGTAAATTATTTTTTTGTGAAATATAAAATGATATAATATGATATAATCTAAAATAGAGAAATATAGCTAATATTGCCTATTGTTTTCTATAATGTTGTCTAATAATACAATAACATTCATGTAATAATAGTGTACAAATTGTTTTAGCATAACAAATTTTATTTTAATCTAATTAATTCAAGATTCTGCAATATGATATAACAAAATTTGATAACTATAGGAAATATAGTAAAATATTGTATAATTAATATAATTGAACTATCTTATAAGGAACCAAAATATCATATAATACAACAAATATCACCTAATCTAATCTAATTCAATATATATTCAAATATAGTTGTTGTTTTTTTTCCCGAATGCGTAGCAAGGGTTCCCGTTTCACTCTGGGGGTCTGGGGGTTGAGGGTGTGTTCGCTCGACGTTGCGTTCACGGTCGCAACCGTTCGTGACCGTTCGCGACCGTCCGCAACCGTCCGCAACCGTCCGCAACCGTTCGTGTGAGGACCGTATGGCCGTGCCTATGGGAAGTTCTGCAGAGGTGGTCCTTTTTGGGGGTTGCAGACGTGTCGTTGCTTCGTTTCGCGTGGCAGGCGTGGCACTTCGTGACATTCAGAATCATTCAGACGTGTTCTGGAACGTGTCGAAAGTCGTTTTGCGTGGCAGGCACAATACTTTTGCGACGTTTTCAGAAGATGTGTTGCAGTTTTCGTGGCAATTTGGACGTGTCCATCGTCATTTTTCGTGGCAGGCGCAGCACTTTAGACGTGTCGGGTTGCGTGTTTTTTGTAAATCGCATTGGCAGGGCTGCGTCAAGTGGCGACAAGGTGCAAATTCCGTGGCAGGCGTGGCATTTTGTGCGATGCGTTGAAAATTGACGGAAGCCTCGCACGAAACATCGATTTTGAGGTTGCCAATTTTCAGGTTCTAAGGAAAACTCGTAGGAAAACGTCGATTTTGAAGCTACAAAGTGTGAAAATTGGAGGAAGTCTCGCACGAAATGCTCGTTTTGGTGCTTCCACCTGTCTCGTCTCGTGTCATTGGTTTTATGGTGGCTTCGCCGTGTCTATGGGGGAAGCTGCAAAACATGTCTCTTCGGCATGTTTCAAAGTGTGAAAATTGGAGGAGTCTCGTACGAAATGCTGTTTTTTCTGCATCCACGTGTCTTGTCTCGAGTCGCTGGTTTTCCTGTGGCGTCGCCGTGTCTATGGGGGAAGCTGGAAAACATCTCCTATTCGAATGTGTCCAAGCAGGTTGTCATGTCGTTTTGCGTGGCAGGCGTGGCACTTTCTGACATTCCAACCTGTTTGATGATGTTTCGAAAATGTCAAAGTTGGAGGAAGCCTCGTACGAAATGCTGGTTTTTCTGCATCCACGTGTCTCGTCTCACGTCTCTGGTTTTCCCGTGGCGTCGCCGTGTCTATGGGGGAAGCTGCAAAACTTGTCCTTTTGTCATGTTGCCAACTGTCAAAATTGGAGGAAGCGTCGTACGAAATGCTGGTTTTTCTGCATCCACGTGTCTTGTCTCGAGTCGCTGGTTTTCCTGTGGCTTCGCCGTGTCTATGGGGGAAGCTGCAAAACCTCTCCTTTTCGAATGTGTCCAAGCAGGTTGTCATGTCGTTTTGCGTGGCAGGCGTGGCACTTTCTGACATTCCAACCTGTTTGATGATGTTTCGAAAATGTCAAAATTGGAGGAAGCCTCGTACGAAATGCTGGTTTTTCTGCATCCACGTGTCTTGTCTCGAGTCGCTGGTTTTCCTGTGGCGTCGCCGTGTCTATGGGGGAAGCTGGAAAACATCTCCTATTCGAATGTGTCCAAGCAGGTTGTCATGTCGTTTTGCGTGGCAGGCGTGGCACTTTGTGACATTCCAAACTTGTTTGATAACGTGTCGAAAATATCAAAATTGGAGGAAGTCTTGCACGAAATGCTCGTTTTTTTGCACCCACGTGTCTCGTCTCGAGTCTCTGGTTTTCCTGCGGCGTCGCCGTGTCTATGGGGGAAGCTCCGCGCTCCACACTCTACACTTTACACTCCACACTCCACAATTTACACTTTAGACTCCACACTCCACACTTTACACTTTACACTCCTCACTCCACACTCTATACTCCACACTCCACACTTTACACTCCACACTCTACACTTTCCACATCCCTGTATGGTGCTCAAAAATAACATCAATGGGCTTGGCCCCGAACTATTTTTAGATTTATTTTTCAAAAGGTGTCTATCATGAGTTTTGAGTAAGTCAGATCCCTATGATTTCATTTTTCAGACATGGGTCATGTCAAGTGCTGTCCAAAAAGCAGATAAAAGTAGCTGGTGGAGTAGCTTTAGGTTGGGTCCCTCTGGATTTTATTTTTGCGTTCGAACCCTTTGAATTCATTTCTGGTTTTATCCACCGGAAAACCCGGAAAACATTGAAAGTTCACCCTGTTACCAAACTTGACATGCCACCAACACAGGGAAAACAAACAGCATTGGGAGAGAAAACTGAGAAAGACATATGCTGCCCTGGAACCTTTTAGTTTTATTTCTGGAACATTTCTGGATGCTGACTTGGAATCTTATTAATTTTATTTCTGGAACCTCTTGATTTTATTTTGCAAATCCCTCAGTTGGATGATTGATGATTTTCTCTTTGCGCAACATGTGGGGTTGAACCCCCCAGATTTCATTTTTGCAATTTTGGTTCAGTAGCCTGGGTACCTATGATTTAATTTTATTTTTCAGGGGTCCTACCCCACCTGGGTGCACCACAAGGAGATCTTTCCACTCCACACTCCGCACTCCAACACTCCACACTTTACTGTACACTCCACACTCCACACTTTATACTTTACACTCCTCACTCCACACTTTACACTCCTCACTTTACACACCACACTCCACACTCTACACACCACGCTCTACACTTTCCACTCCAGACTCCACACTCTACACTTTACGCTCCACACTCCACACTCCACACTTTACACTCCACACTCCACACTTTACACTCCACACTTTACACTTTACACTCGGTTGTCATGTCGTTTTGCGTGGCAGGCGTGGCACTTTGTGACATTCCAAACTTGTTTGATAACGTGTCGAAAATATCCAAGTTGGAGGAAGTCTCGCACGAAATGCTCGTTTTTTTGCACCCACGTGTCTCGTCTCGAGTCTCTGGTTTTCCTGTGGCGTCGCCGTGTCTATGGGGGAAGCTCCGCGCTCCACACTCTACACTTTACACTCCACACTCCACAATTTACACTTTAGACTCCACACTCCACACTTTACACTTTACACTCCTCACTCCACACTCTATACTCCACACTCCACACTTTACACTCCACACTCCACACTCTACACTTTCCACTCCACACTCCGCTCCAACACTCCACACTTTACTGTACACTCCACACTCCACACTCCACACTTTATACTTCACACTCCTCACTCCACACTTTACACTCCTCACTTTACACACCACACTCCACACTCTACACACCACGCTCTACACTTTCCACTCCAGACTCCACACTCTACACTTTACGCTCCACACTCCACACTCCACACTTTACACTCCACACTTTACACTTTACACTCTACACTCCAGACCCCACACTCTACACACCACACTCTACACTTTCCACTCCACATTTCACACTCCACACTACACTTTACACTCCACACTCCACACTTTACACTCCTCACTCCACACTCTACACTCCACACTCCCCACTTTACACTCCTCACTTTACACACCACACTCCACACTCTACACGCCACGCTCTACACTTTCCACTCCAGACTCCACACTCTACACTTTACGCTCCACACTCCACACCCCACACTTTACACTCCACACTTTACACTCCACACTCCACACTGCACACTTTACACTCCTCACTCCACACTCCACACTTTACACTCCTCACTCCGCACTCCTCACTTTACACTCCACACTTCACACTCCACACTTTCCACTCAACACTCCACACTCCACACTTGACACTCCTCAATCCACACTTTACACCACACTTTACACTCCACACTCCACACTCTACACACCACACTTTACACTCCACACTCCGCACTTTACACTCCACACTCCACACTCTACACTCCGCACTTTACACTCCACGCTTTCCACTTTACACTCCTCACTCCACATTTTACACTCCACACTCTACACTTTACACTCCACACTCCACATTCTACACTCCACACTTTACACTCCACACTCCACACTCCACACACCACACTCTACACTTTCCACTCCACACGCTACACTCTACACTCCACACTCTACACTTTACACTCTACACTTTACACTCTACACTTCGCACTCTACAATTACAAACTCCACACTCCTCACTCCACACTTTACACTCCTCACTTTACACTCCACACTCCTCACTCCACACTTTACACTCCTCACTTTACACTCCACACTCCACACTTTGCACTTTGCACTTTACACTCCTCACTCCACACTCTACACTCCACACTCTACACTCCACACTCTACACTTTACACTCCATACTCCACACTCTACACTTTACACTCCGCCTTCTACACTTTACACACTCTACGCTCCCCACTCCACACTTTACACTCCACACTCCTTACTTCACACTCCGCACTCCACACTCTACACTTTCCACTCCACACTGCAGACTGGTAACAAGGGAAACATGTACAAGACTGTTCAAAAAAACTATTGCAGAAAGGTATTGTGCGTGACTGCATAACCATGTGTTTTGACATCTGTACCATTAACATACGTGTGAGCATTCGGGTTCGTGGGCTTCATCTTGTTTTTTTCTTTTATATAAAGTAATCTAATCTAATAAAACATACCTTCATATACTACAACAACGACATGCTAGACAATGTAATTTACAATAAATAAATATTATATATATAGGTGTATGTTTTATTCATTGTAATATTGTATTAGTTCACAACATATGATATAACTCAATGTGACTTAATATAACACACGGAAAGACAGTTTGAATTAACATGATATATATATATATTTACTAAGATTCAATTTAACCAAATATAAATATATATATATGTATTTTTATATATATACATACCATGTTGTATATACATATGTTGTCAAATTATATTTTATATACACAATATTTTTTGTAAAAAAAAACATCTAATTTATGCACATCAACATTCCAGCCAACTCTGCTGTACTGCTTCAGGACCTGATGTCCATCTAGTCTCATGCTACTCGTACGATGGAAATCACTGGAAAGATGAAGAGTGAAGCCTTCGGTCGCCACACATGATGAGTTCCCAAGTGTTTTTTTTGCACATGGCCTTGCAGGAACTACTATGACATATTTTTCTTCGACCTGCAGGGAAATTGCATCTACTCGGTGTTCAAGGAGTCTTTGTCATGGGAGTTGTGGAAGGTTCGCGCTCATTTTTGATAGATTCAGAAGTGAATTGCAGGAATGCATTGGTACCAGTATTTACTAATCTATCATGCATATAATAGAGGGGTGTCCGGTGAGGTTTCCATTACAGTAGTGCCGCAGTTGATTGTCTCGTGCCAGTGCTTTGCAAGAAAATACATCAAAGTACTGTGTATATATATATATGCCATATGCCAAACTGTGCTAGATTTTGCTAGTTTCACCTTTAAAAACAATGTTTTTTCACAAATGAATGCCGCGGAATGTATGATATGGATCTGAAATTGTGCAGTTTGTCAGTGCTTGTTCTACGGAGATGGCCGTCGACCTTCTTTCCGTTTTTCAAAAAAGTTCTCTAGATTAATTTGTTTAAGGAACTGGTTGATATATACATATATATATATATATCGTCATGTGCGGGCAGCGGTTGCGGAATCCAGTGACCCGGTTGTAAGTAGCCAAAGTTACTGGAATCCATGGACTGGGTAGTCTCAATCGCTTCGTTATAACCTTCTGAAAACGTTGTTTTTTTAAACCAACCAAATATACTGTAAACATAGTAAACATGTTTTTCCAATCATTGATTATACATATTAAATCATTATAGTAATCATAAACATATACTGTATATATACGTATATATATACAGTATATACTATCATCATGGTTCCAAACATTTCATAACGTTCCGAACGTCGACTTTGGGCTGTTCGACTTGGGGATGACATATACTGTATATATACGTATATATATACAGTATATACTATCATCATGGTTCCAAACATTTCATAACGTTCCGAACGTCGACTTTGGGCTGTTCGACTTGGGGATGATCAAATCACCAAAATCAGCAGCGGCTCAGGAGTTGGACTTCGCAACAAATTTTGCTCCTCTGCCAACTGGGATCCCGAAAAGAAGGTGTTTCGAGAAAAATGAAACACTGGGAATTTTCGATATATTTAGATAATAGTTACTTAGGTGTTTCTTCTACTACTGATATTCTATGATCGATTTTCGAACAATGATTATGTATAATTACTTTTGGAATCTTCAGATTGTATTTAGTGATGTTTACCATCTACCAACTGGTGCAGGATTTCGCTGGCCCATCCACGTTGGGATCCTGCAATGCAGTGTCTTAAGACCATCCCTGCAACTTATAGAGACTGAGAATCACTACATGCCCTGGGCAAAATTAACGTAGATGTGGAAAATGGCCCATTTATAGATGAGGTACCTATAGAAAATGGTGATTTTCCACATCTACAGTACATATGTTAGCCTACTATAGTCTACTCTAGTGTACCTTTTAGAGGAAAGTAGTCTTCCCACCACCTATTTGGCAGGGTCTATATTATATATGTTTTTTTTCGGGGAGATGGTACCTGAAAAGAAGTGACTATAACCTGATTTTGCAGGCTTGTAGGTCACCAATTCTTGGTCCAATGTATTTCCACTCGTTCCTCAAACTAGTCGTTGACTCATTGACCAGTCCACTTTCACATCGGCGTGATGAGCCTCAGTCCACTTTCACATCCACCAAGGCGTGCCTCAAATTACGTATGGGATGCATTTTAAATTCTAGCAATCCAGGCTTAAAACTTTTACCCTCAGTGTCACTAGCCAGTACATTGTCAGAATAATAAGAACAGCTCGAACTCATAATTTAGAATATCTTAATATATAATTAATTGTTTATATATATATGTGTATATATATATATGTGATATTATTATTATATACATATATAAAGTATGTGCCCCACCGAATGATGAAATAGGGCCAAAATGGCCAAGTTGCTGGGCCCAGTGGTATCCTAGCAGCGACATCCTCAGGCTGCTACTGGTAGCGGTCCCTATCGCAGTTCCGGACTGGGCGAAGCCTATCAGGCTGCCTTGGCTGCCCCAGAGGAGATCCATGTGAAGCTCGACGTCAACTTGGATGGATGCGTCGAACTATCAGAGGTGACAAGTGAAAAGAATGAATCATTGAAAATCCATCTTGTCACATTTCCGCAACTGGATGCACGATTTGCATCATTTGCTCAACCTCAGGACCCCCTGGGCGCCCTATGATCCCAGCAAGGGGGCCTTGGCCAGCTTCATTTGCACCGGTGTGCGCTGCTGGGCGGCAGTAAGTAGGTAGATGTAGGTAGTTCCTGGGAGGCCTGACGGGCTACCTTGAGTTGCGGAGTAAAGGGTAGTCCTCAGACCTCTTTGCGGCGAATATTCACCACTTTGCCTTCCTCCCCGTCCCCAGAAATGGCAACTTGAGGTCATGTTGCGTGGTTCGTCGAAAAGCTGAAATGCATTATTTCTCACTGTTTTTCTTCGTCAAGGTCATCCATGTGTTTACGGTCAACTCTTCAACAATGCTACAAATAGCAATGCGTGTTGACATCGAAGAGAAAGCACTGCCAATAGCAGTTTTTGCAACGGTGATTATATATTGCAGTTCAGACTGTTTTTCGTATCCTGGTTTCCTGGCGTTGAATTGTTGTTGTGGCCCATTGTGGGCAAACTCTTCCCACACAGCTTGCTTGCAGTGTTTTGCGCATGGCCACGTTGCTCCCAACTAAAAAATGGTTTGGTTTTGGTTCAGTGCGAAGCCCACCATGTCTACAGCCAGCGTTGATTGTCCCCCTTCTTGCCAAAAATCCCATTACCTAATGGGATGTTTCCTTTACGGAGTAAAGAGGAGGCACATATTCCATATGTGTGAATATATGTTAATATGCAGGAAATATTTTCCAATCACCCCCGCCAAAAGCCCGCCCTTCCATGTGAGCTGATGTTTTTGGTCCATCCCGTTCCCGATCATATAGTCATATGTCATACGTGGGCCTCCATCTCTTCACATTGCTTGCTTCTGTTTTCATCCAAAAGTCTTGATCCCAAACACTTTTGCTCCAGTGGCATCATCGTCGCTAAGCATGACATGCCACTCAACCTCTTCAGTCTTCTACTTTCCCTCTCAAGGGGTCCCGGCATCGGGCTCATTCCGTCCATGTAAGCGGTCAGTCTTGTTTTCTGATCGTTTCTGTAGTTTTGAGTTGAGGAACTTGTAAACATGCATCAGGCGTCGTCCTCGTCCTCGTCCTCGTCCTCCTCATCATCCTAATCATCCTCATTATCCTTATCATCCTTATCCTTCTCCTCACCCTCCTCCTCATCCTCCTCCTCGTCCTCAGCATCCTCAGCATCCCCAGCATCCTCATCCTCCTCATCCTCCTCATCCTCCTCATTCTTCTCATCCTCCTCATCCTCCTTATCCTCCTCATCCTCCTCATCCTCCTCATCCTCCTCATCCTTCTCATCCTCCTCATCACCATCCCCATTCTCATCCTCATCCTCACCCTTATCCTCCTCCTCCTTTTTCCTCATGCTCTTCATTCTCTTCATGTTCTTCATGTGTTTCACGCTGATTTTCAACTGCAAAATGCAGCTGAAGAATCGCTGACCCAAGGACCTCTGGAGGGCAGTGTCACACTCAAATCAGTCAACCCAAAAAACAGGCCGCGGGCCCAATCCAAAAAGAAATGCCAAAAATGCAGACATCGAAGCTCAGAATCCCCCAGGACAGGTCGCACAGAGCGAGTGATACCCAAAAATTATTCGGAATCAGTCCAAACCGGAAGAACCCTCAAAAGAGTAAAACCAGCTGGACGCCAACCAAAGGTGAAACAGAGGCAGCAACAGTCATGAATCATGATCATTTGCGGCAGCCAAAATCGCCACCAAGCTGGCACAGACTTTGTCCCAGTGCATACGCAAGGAAGGATGCACGTTGGAAGTGGGAACACGACAAATTGAGGCCACCGTCTCAACAGAACCAAGCTGTGCGCAAGCGAGATCAACAAGGCTGCCTATATGATGTGCACGCAAAGAAACCCAATGAGGGAAACGCCACCAACGATGAGTTTCAGTTTCAACAGCCGAGAGACAGAAAGGACAGTTGGCAGATTCAACTCCCCGGGAGGATCTATGCATGCGATCAGCAGTGATGGTGGCACCTTGCATGATGTATCGAAGACTGGGCTGAAGATCAATAGGGGTGTGGTCAAGCACCTTGCGCAGGGAGACACGATCAACACGTCTAGAAGCAGCCCCAGAACGATGTAGCCGCATATCATCACGCAGGGCATGGAGACACGGCAAGCTCAGTTCACCTAATTCTTTCTTGTGAAGCGCAGACACAAGGACCAGGAGCAGATTCGGATGGAGGGGGAAGCACATGCCGCTGGCAACTACCAAAGACGAGGCATGTGACTGAGGTTCATCATGCAAAGGAGGCGCGGCAGAAGCAGCTGCCGCAACACCCATATAGAGGAAAGCGAAGAACCGTCAGGCAAACACGCAGAGTCACCAAGCGATCCGCGACGATACAGCACGAAGGTCCAAGAAGATGGTATATAGACCAGCAATTTCTTTAGCCGAAGCGGGGCGACAAACATTGTCGTCACACAGAACCTTGCAACTGTCACGGGAACGAGCCAAGAGCACATAGTGACCAGACGAAGCCAACGCACCCAAATGGCAAACCACAAGATCAGCAGCAGTGATGGAGTCTCTTCTTGCTCTTCATGCTCTGTATCACCAGTCATCGTCATCGTCATAGTTATAGTCATCGTCAGCATTCCTCATGTTCATCCCCATGCTCATCCTCATGCTCATCCTCATCATCCGCATCATTCTCATCATCATCATCATCATCATCATTTTTCTTTGCGTCCTCATGATCCTCAAGCTGACTCGTGTTCATTCTCACCCTCCTCCTCCGCCTCCTCCTCCTTCTTCTCCTCCTCCTCCTTATCATCACCATCATCCCCAAAGTCCTCCGAAACTATCAGCGTTATTAAGAGGTGGTTATCCTGCAGCTGGGATAGTTTGCTTTGCCCTTCCAAACATGGTTTACTGTTTTTTTTTCCTGGTATATATATATACCTGGATCTTCACTTAGCACTTTTTTTCTGCTCATAGCAGTTTTCGCTTGGATTTACATTCGTTCTGATTTTTTATGCCCACTTGAACTAGAAAACGCGCATTTGTTTCTTGATGGACGGGCATTTACGTTTTTTTCCCGGGTATTTACACTTATTTCCTGGGAAAATACGCTCATATTTTTGGCCTCAAAATGCACAAAGTGCAAAAATGCCAAAAGTGGTGCAAATACACTCATGTGGTAAAAAACCGCTCAAAAAAACAGAAATCTCGCAAATAAGCATCTATTTGTTTTTTCGAGGATACAGGATATTATATATATATATATACACACACATAATTATATATATATATACATCATTTTTGTTGCTTTATTCCACGTTTTTCTTGAGGTGACGGTTCAGAGTTAATTGGAGTCTTCTGCACACAGATGCCAGCTGAAACGTTTCTGTGCAGCATGGGAGGGGCGACACATTCTGAGTACGTGGGGGCTCATTCAAAATATTCACTTTGACATGGGACGGAGGGAGAGAGAGAGAGAGAGAGAGATATAGAGAGAGAGAGAGAAATTTAATGTAATGTTATATATATATGGGATGAAGACATATGAAGGCAACATAATGGGGATATTGTATTAATGTGATATAAGATGGTGAAACCATGGATCGCAACTTGTTAGTAATCCTTGTGATCCGGGATCATTCGGTTTTCCCATATCCATATGTAAGATAAATATAGGGCATACATATATACAAACGTACAAACGGGTGAACTGGTTTCAAACCAGTTTCGATCAGTTGCATGATTTTCCACTTAAAGACTACAGAAACCTTGCAGTTCTCCATGGGCTCGAAAACTGTTTGGAATGTCTGCATGTGGTTTTCCTATGTTTTCCTCAGTTTGGTCCAATGTTTGACTATCCGGAGTTTTCTTGGCACCATAGACCCTTTGAACCTGTTGCTGGACCGGATTTGGTCAGATGTCATTTCAGTCCCGGCACAAGAATTCCGAAACTGTTTGCACCGATGGATCAGCGAGGACCACATGTTCGGAGATGTTTTTCAAAGAACAACGTTGCACGTATCTATATATATATATATGTACATTATTATATATACACATGTTTTTGCACGTGTAAACACATATACATATATATATATTATACATAGTTGCCCTCTATACTGTTGTTTATACTCATATCAATTTGAGTCACCCTTGAAAACTAATATGCTGGAAATGATTCGTTAACAACTTGCCTACCTAGTCCAGCACCAGGAGGCCAATCACGGTGGCGGAGATGGAAACCGCACTGGATCGTGCGTCAAAAAGCATGGACCTGGCAACCAGCTCCTTGCTGACGGAAAGGCTGGCTGCCAAGGCATTGTTAGATTTGGATAGGAAAATAGATTAAATAATGATAAATCATGATATAATCAATCCGTGTCAATGTAGCATCATGGTCTCTTTTCCTTTTTCCCCACATGAATCGTCTGACTGTGGCTGTATGTGGCTGTGGTGATCCGCATTTGCTCTGATAGGGTTCCAAGACCCATGCTGGGACTCCCATCAGTGGGAAGGTTTTGAATTCTGAGGCTACAAAGTGTATCATCCGGGGTGCACATCCACCATAAGCCAAACTGCTTGGGAGCAACTCATTGCGAGCCTGGGTTGAGAGTTCAGCCCCAGCCACCCACCTCAAGGGTTCCATTTTTTTATCCATGAAGGTAAACGATTAGCCTACGTACAGATATATACAGTATACATCTATTTATACCAACATCCAAGAAGCAAGAAAACAGCCCGAAGCTGCTAAAATGGCAGGAGAAATGTTGCCAATGTTTGAGTGATTTGAGACCATCAGAAATCAGCAGCAGGGCATTCTCTCGATCGAATGGTGCTATCCTTGGTTGGAGACTTTGTTGGTGCTGCCTTAGATATCCTTTCGAAGAACTTGCACACATGGGCATGGAGAATATTAATTAATCGGTTTGTTTGTTTTTGGTCAGGCACAGCATCTTGTCGTGCATGTCACCTAACAGTCAAGCAGCCCAGGAAAATGTCATTGGTCGAGGTAGACAGCTATCGAATTCAAACTGAGTTCCAGCTGTTCCATGATTGCACGGTCCAGACCTGTCGCTGGCTGTTTCGGCATGGGCCCTGGGTAAGCCAGGGTTAATCTATCCAATGGTTAGGAGGGAAGGAGCTAGGGACATTGATATTCCCTATTAAATACCATGTGTATGTATATATATATATACAGTAATTAATAATATATTCAAATTATTTTCTATTTATTATAGTACATATATCCATATATTAAATACATGGGGAGCCAAGGAGTTAGTTAGACTTTCCCAACCACACGATAGTAGTTTCCAGACCACCACATGTTGGTAATTTTCAGATCTTTGGATTGAGGAATAACATGGGACATCAAAGCTGTGCCATGAGCAATATTTGCTGGAACTGTGCCTTGTTCAAAACCATTTACCGTAACCCTGCCAGCTAAAAGCCACCAGAACCGATCCCGTATGGGGCATTTGATATGGTCAGGGTATGAGACTACCATACATTTAGATACATTTATAGTAATGAAGTTGTTGTTTGAAGAAGAATTCCAATGAAAATCAGCAATTTATCAACATTTATGCACTACATTGCACTACTACATATTGCCGATTATATTCTGTGTACCCATAAGTATACCCATGTAATGCCCAAGATTTTTTCGAGATCCCCAGGCTCAACGCAGGCTACTCACAGCTGTGGCTGGATCAAGCTGATCAGGGTCGTGAGGAACAAAAGGCCGATTTCAACGGTTTCGGTCGAAACCTGGAAAGATGGTTTCGACGGTGCCAAGTGACATGGAAGATATCAGATGAATCATACATACATATATATGTATATTATATATATACATAATTATACAGATATACGAAAATGAGGTCTTGAATGTCTTGAAACAATATCATGCTTTTTGTTGTTCCCTCCAATGTGGCGTCGGCGCGCGCTCGCGCGCCCGTTACATCCCGTTACCACCCAATTTGGGTTCAATGTCTGTTTTTTGCCACTGCCAGTGGGGGTTCGTGACATGGTGCACGTCAGTGAGAAGTATCACACGTTAGTTAAAAGTTGTGCGCGGTGGGGGGATGGGGATGGGGTGGGCTAAAAACGTCCATCCGCCTTGCGCACCTGCTACGCTTTGACATGTTTCAATATGTTTCTTTGTACTTGCGCACTTACAGGTTGCCACACACACGCACACACACACCCGCACACACACACATAATCACACACAATCACACACTAGACAGGAAATGGATCATTGAAGTAATCCGTCGGGAACCGAATCCCATCACACCCAATGAGATTAGATTTATATATATATATGTATATATATATATGGGACTATGGTGGCCACCAGCTGCGACTTAAATGCGCCCAGGTGCACCACCACAGTCCCGCAGGTACGTTTTCACGGGTCCCGGGGAGGTGTCTTCGTTGGACCCGGTGACCCCCTGCTTTATAGAAGGTATAATATAATATAATTTAATATAATAATTTAATATAATATCAAGTGATGAGCCACGAGCGAAGTTTTACATCTCCGCAGACGGTACACACACACACGTTTCTGTGTACTTGCGCACTTACAAGTTGCTATGCTTTGCTTTGACACTTTGCAACTACATCTCAACTGAATGTGCCGCCAAATTCAATATCAGGCAGCCTAGTCTCGAACCCACTTTGGATGCTTTGTCGATGTATAGATGCAACACTGTTGGACAGCTTGGTAACCCACCTGCGGACTTCTTGCATGTTACACAGGATTGCCTGTGGCTGTGTCATTAGAAGAAAGACGTGATGGAAAACCCAAGATGAATTCCTCCTGGAAATGCTGACACGGCATCGAAGCATTGCTTGAATGTAAATTCACACTCACATAATTGCACCGTTTTTTTTGTTATTCTGTGGCAATCCAAATAGCTATCGGACATGTCTTATTTATACATTACTTAGAACTTTAACATGTGGTTTCCCAGGTTAAATTACAAAAGGCTGTAAGTTTTGCCTGCCGTCATTTTTTCCCTCACTAGGACTGTCGTAAGTCGCACAAAACCATTTTTTCGGTGAGTTATAACTGTATTTGACAGGGTGGTTCAAAAAATAGTGCAGCCGTTAATGATTATCATTGGATATACCTCGAGTTGGCACTTTGATACTTGAATATGTTGCTGACAACAGGGATAACACTGTATGACTGTATGTACATATATTATAGTTGTTTTAGAAGGAATGCAGGCATCTAAGCATGGGAAGGATCGTAATTCCTAGTCATCCCTATTCAAACAATGTCTGAAACCAAACAAACGATATAGTCACCCAACTGTTCATGTTTTTTCCAAACTAATATTCAATTCTCCTCAATTCAACAATAAGCGTAAGTCATCGCGTTTCCCACATTAGCAGAGGGATTACTGCAGATTTAGCCACATTGCTCAAGGTCTGGAACACCACCAGACAGCAAACTTAGGTATAGTGTATGACCCAGCCTTTCAATACAACATTGCATCATTACAACACATTGGTGAAGACTGGTCTATGACTCTAAAAGATAGAAACATATAGAAACGTAAACTCCCACTGAAATAGTGGTTACACCATAGGGGTCCCGGAAAAGATCGAAAAGTGTTGCCAGGATGTTAGTGCGATGATGTTTGCCCCATATTTTCCAGGTTTGGGGTGGTTGCTATAGTATATACCCTCGGGTAATCAAATATGGAAATGGAAAACCCACCATTTAGTTCGATGTTGTTCCCATTTATAATCTCTTCTATCTATAGTTTAACATAGTTTAACTGAATTTCATTTATGGAGAACTTTCCAGCCAGCCACAGGCCAAAGTGGCTGCTTCAGTCACTACGGAGCTCGGCGACGCTTTCGTTGAGTTCAAAGCTGCCTGGGATGTAACTCGGTGACCCGAAGTATGGGGACACCCTCCGGTGTCATCGTGGCTTGGGAATTCCCGAACTCCAATGGAGGTTTATAACTTGCAAAATTATCGAACTAAATGGTGGAAATGCGATTGACACACTTGAATAAAGGAGGGTATGTCCAACAGCGTGGGGATCAATCGGATAATACGTTGGGCTAATTTGAATTGATGATTTCATGATCAAATCTTCAGAATTGATCATTTTGACATTTGATTTCCCAGAGCCCATGGTGCTGGTGTATGTTTTCCATTTGACTTGGTCATGTTTGGAGTAAAGGTTTCTATCATCCATACATGAAGCATATTGAATAGTAAAAAGATGTAAGAAGTCTGATCGGTGATATTTTTTCCATGCCGTTGATGTTATATATATATATCGTTTTAGTTATAATATTTAATCATATTTAATCCAAATCAATCGTAATACTTGGGATATCTTGGGATGGACTGGCCTTGACTAAAATCTTGCCGGAGTTGAACGGCTACGGCCTGTCCTTTGTAGTGCCTGAGGCATACCGGGCAACCAACGAAGAGAGGTTGCTGGGCTCGGAGATGGACAAAAACTGGACCCAAGCGCTGGGCTCCATTCCCAAGTGGGAGGTTTGCACGGCAAAGAATGAGCGCCGAAAAGAGGAATCCTGAGATATCGTTCTGTGTTTTTTGATGATTTATGATGTTTTTTTAGATGTGCAATGCTTGATGATGTTGTATAACGTTTTGTGATGCTTTATGATGCTTTATGCACTTTGAAAATCGCAGAAAGATCTGTAAGGCGCCCTTGGGGTAGATACATATGGTCTCTACCATACAACCTGCCTCCCCTATCCTCAAACTGAAGTCTAATAAACTATGTAGTGATGATCCT